GTTATTACTTTAAGGTATATTTTAAAAACAAGAATTTTCTTGCACTTATGTATTTTTTCTCGGTTTTATTCGTAATGTTTAAACAAAGCTCAGTTTTACGTTTATTTCTGTGTTGAAATATGGAAAACAAAATAAAGCTGGTAAAAGTGGAGAACATTTCCTTTCCAACAAGCCCTTACAGGCCTTCTTACGCTCAGTATTTTCTTAATTACGATAATTTGAATTTGTGACCTTTGCAAAGTTTTTATGGAAAAATCAGTCAATATTTACCATGTAACGTCAAGGTCGATATTGTTGCGTCTTACTCGAAACAACAAATTCTTTTATAAGACTTTTTTGACCATTTAAATATATATTTTTTACTGAAATAAATGCATAATACAAAAATACATTTAAAAAAAACAAATATTTACTATTGTTCTGCCTTTTGTGTGAAATGAAATGTCAATTTATTCATCCACATGTAATGATGAAAATTTGATGTAGTGATGTACAATGTTGAGAAAAATTGTAGATTCCCTAAACGTCGATCTTTACTAAAAAAAAAATCAGATTTTATAGTTGTATCTTGTTATATTGTATACTTAATTTGCAAATTAATTAGATCTATATTAGCACGAAATTTAACAAAACAAGAATTCGCATTTATAAATAAATACGACTCATCACTGTATGAGTTGATACGAATTGAAATAACCACGTGTTTCCGCTATGGTAGGAGTAAACAAACAACATGACGGTGATCCGAAATCTGAACGTCAATTTTCATGATTATTTCACGACGAAGATCATCACATCAATGAATCAAATAATACGGACATCCTTTGGTATTAGCAGGTGAGAATACGTGTATATTGACTGAATAGTTAAAGTTTAAAACGCAATTAGTTCACGTTCAAAAGAAAACTAAATGTAGACATGTACATGCACTAGATCTTCATATTTCAGTGTGCGTATTTCGTATTGTTCGATCAGCCAATTTTGTGTTGCTTTTGAACTTTGATGCTTTTGACAAACACTCATAAGTTCAAAGTAAAATCAAAGTTGCCATTATATTAAATAGATAGTTGTTTTCAATATGTGTATACCAGTGTGTACATATACATGTACCACTTTCACTTTGAATTTTTAGGGTGCTGGCAACATATGCAACAATACTTTCATCTGTGAATACCCACTTGCTAAGCCCACCATGATCTACGAATGCCAATTAATATGTAAGGACACCAATGAACAGGTAAATTTTTGTTTTGTTGTTGAATATTTCTGTATTTCTAAAATTTCAAAAAATAAAGTCAAATTTCATTTGTGTCATTCTCATGATAAATCATTCATATGAGTTTTTAAACATTTGATTTATATTTTGAAAAATAAGTGTTTGAAACACATAATACTTATGATGCTTGATTATTCATACAAACACATTATTTAAACACATAATATTATCTATTTGAATGAATGCCGAGATATGAAACAAGCTGTTTTTATAGACTGCTGTTGTATTTCCAATCTGCATAAAGTTTGTGGTTAGAATTTCCATTTTCTCATTTTTTCAGACACTTTCCAATTATCGTACATCATATATATGGGTGGTCAAACTCTCTGGATGTTTTATCAACACTCCCATGCTCACGAACAGCCTTGCCCCAGGAATTTTGCCCTGAAGTAACATTGCAGTCTATTGTCTCCCTTCTTTTTACAACCCTGGCAGCCATGCAGGTATGCAATCTATGAAAGCCATGAAGGGACATAGAATTTTTAAAAAATTATAAAAGTAAACCGAGTTCTCGATTTAAACAATCCATTCTCTCAGATTGACAATCTGTTATAACAAATTGCCAATTCATATTCTCACAGATTATCTTCCCTCAAATTACACAATCCATTATCTCAGATTGTATAATTCATTCTCTTAGTTTAATTGACACGTTCCCTCGGAATGTAAACCCTTCCCATGATTTCATTAAAATTATTTATCTGTACATGTTTAAAGAATAGAATATTGTAGTATTTTACATCCAACCTATTATTACATATTACCATATTACCATATTACCAAAATGAGAAAAATTCATGAACATTTTCAAATCCATATGCTAGTACTGATATTTGTACAACAAAAAATCTTACAGGTTTTTGGTTACGTGTATATTAAAATAATTGAAAGTCCGATATAGTAAAGTGAATATGGGTCCTGTGTAATCATAATATTTCTAAAATAAATATACGTTGAATTAGTTATGAAAGAGGTTGGAAATGACCGGTTGCTGAAACAAAATAAAAAGAAGTGAACGCACTAATTGATTTAAATAGTTTGATGTATCTGTACATATATGTAATAAAATTCAAGAGCACAGATTGCCAAAATCATAGGACTGACGTTGTAACAAATCGAGAACTTGAATTATTAATCTGTGAAAATGAATTGCCAGTATGTAATTCAAGATCTCAAATTATGAATCAAGGGGGCGAATTAGTAATCTGTAAGATCGGATTGTGTAATTTGAGATCTCGAATTATAAATCAAGGGAATGATTTAGTATCCGTGAAATTGGATTGTCTAATTTGAGATTTCATTTTCTACTTTTTTGAAAAATTGCTGTGTCCCTTCATGGCTTTCATAGCAATCTAATTAAAATTAGATCTTCCATCCACTGCCAGATTTTTTTTTTACATATTGTGATAGCGTAAACAGAGGTCTGGCTTTAGTCAGATTGCCATATATGCTATTTGTTTTAGTTCAGTAATTTTACCATAATGGTTTACTACAAGGTTGTTGAATTATCAGTCCTGATACATTGACTTAACAATATCATTTAACTACTTGAATCACACAATAGATGCAATCTTAATTTTAAAAGGAAAATCAAATAAATGTAGTAATTTTAGCATTCTTAATTTTATTTATAAATGTAAATTCATATACACAATGGCATGTATCTGTTTCAAAATATTTAAATCTTTTACAGGATAGAAGCTGATCACTTGAACTTGAAAGCAAATAATAATGTCTTGGACAAGTCAAAGAATTTCCTCCAGTCTTACAGAGAAGTAACAGTTGATAAGAGAATGGTGGACACAAAGTAAAAGTGCTCTTCAACATTTTGTTGAAGATCTCAGTCTGATTTGGAATTCATCTTGCAATATATCTGGATTTGTATATTTGGATATAAGCATCAAATTTTCAACGTATTGACTAAACAGTTTTGGGCTAAATATTGCCAATGCTATTTATTGTTATTATTTCCCTCCAAGATAACATGTCAAGTCTTTATTGTACCCCTTAAGCTCAGTTATACCAGAAAAATCTTGTAATGAAATCATTTAGTTTTTTTTTCTTGTTAGATTAAATCCATGAAAATAAAGATTATTTTTAATGGCATCAAGAGAATGGATTTCTTGTTTAACAAAATGATTGTATACATGTTTTGCTAGGGGTTTGTAAGAAGCAGACCAGAATTCTTTGGTTGCAAATTTTGTCGTTCGCCATTTTTATTACGTCAACTATTAGATGATTTATCCATATATGAAGCATTTCAAAATTGATATTTACTTACAGTTTAAAGCAGAATTCTATACTGATATGACCTTGACCCCCTGAAGAACAAGAGTGTCAAGGTCAATTTTTTTAATACAGAAATGTTCTTTCATCTTTATGGCCCATATATATCTTACAAACAATATCATGAAATATACAAAAAGTGTCTAGAATGTGTCCAGAATGTGAAATAACAAACATGTATATAGCCAAAACCTTTAAAATGTTGTTGCTTAGCAACCACTAAAAGGTCATTAAACAGATATTTGAACTAAAATGATGCATGGATATTGCAGTTCTGATCCCTTTTTGAGAGTATATTCAGAATTTTCCATTTCAGCATCCATTGTGTAAAATTATGGCAAGAATATTGAAAAGTGTTGAAAAAAATTGATGAAATTGTTGCACTTATTTGACCTTTGACCTCCTAAAAATAGATCTAATGAGGTCAAACTTTAATACAATTTATCTACTGTATGTCCTTTGTAATTTTATGACCTCACATCTAACTTTAATATGTGCTTGGATGCATAAATGTATCTAGATTGAGTAAAAAATGAAAATTTCTGCCCAAAAATTAAAGAATTCTGCGTTGCTTAGCAACTCCTTTTAAGTAGTTATATGCAGAATTGAAAAAAAACGTTTATGTGTTTCGTGTACTACAGTATAATGCTCTTTTGTGGGTATATCCCAAATTTCCTATTTCAACATACATAATACTTAATATTTAGCTTGAAGATTAAAAAGTATCAAAAAATTCCATAAAATTTTGCACTTAATTGACCTTTGACCTCAATTTCTACTAATAAGGTCAGTAGTTGAGCATCTAAATAGCCATAAAATATCATCTCTATGTAATCCCCTTCAAAATGGTATGAATTATGCCTAGCTTTCACCTAGGTTAAAAAAGTTAGAAGTAATTTAGTAATGACATGTCAAAAGGCCTCCAAAAACACGTAAAATGCGCCGGAAGAGAAAGGGTTAAACTAAGGGCATACAACCCGCTTAATCATATTCGACCCCTTCCCAATCTTTATCGTTATCATCATATCAAAAAGTGTGTGTGTTATGGCAAATTTATTTAAACTATTCATTTTGATTTATGTAAAAAAGTCCAATAAAAATAATAGCCTAATAATAGAACGAATAATTACTTTGTTACTGCTGATACGTTTCACGTTTTAGAGAAGAACGAACGACAACTCTGTATGTCTAAAACATAAACAAATTGGGTTCAACATTTGATTAGCACGGGATACTGAAGCGATCTTTAGAAATACTACGAGGGACAAAATAGTTCAAGTAGGTAATTATGTTTAGAATTAATGACAGGTACATAGCTACTGAGAAACTTATCTTTTCAATAATCTTGTATAAAATAGAAGAAATAAGGTATGTAACTCCTTTTATCAATTGTGTACTACATTCGCGTAATAATCTAACAGATAGACGATTCAGCGTGAAATTATTGTCAACAAACCCACGTGGAGCACAAATGATTTACAATGATTGACTGGAAGTGACAGGCCTTCTCTTCAAAATAAACAAGGTAACTCACACTTTGTGATTAGCCTATCTTTTATTGTCACCCTTATCTTTGATTGTTTTAACCTGAAAATGTCGTCTCCCTATGCAGGCATGCTTTAGACATGTTAGATATCGATATGATAGCTGTTATGGTCGGGTCTTATCGAACGAACTGGTACTCTAATTACCATGAATACATGCCAGGGAGAAATTATTTGAGGAATGATCATGCCGAGTTTGTGTATACATTTATATATCCTTTCTCATTTAATGTTAATACATACATGTATGTTGAAGGATGGGCCAAAACTGTAAAATCTGGACAGAAATTAAAACGCAAGCATAAGAACTACATTGTGTTTTGTATAGATGTGTCCCTGCTGCGGAGGCAGCTAACAGAAAGGGGATATAATTAAGATTGCATTGTGGAATTGCCCTGTGCCACCTCTAAATGGCAGAAGAAAACTCAACTCAGCACAACCAGAAACACTTTTCTGAAGGTGAGTACATCAATTTATTATATTTCTAGATAAGTGGAAAAAAATTTCATAACTTATGATACATATTTTTTATAGCATAACAAATCTTCTTGTTTTGATGGCAAAACTGAACCGAATACTATTTTTGAAAGTATATTTTGACTTTTCTAATTTTTTGTTGACTTATTTTCTTTCCATTTTTTCTAAATACATGCAAATACATGATTACTTATAATATAGGCTTTTGAAAGAGAAAACAAATACAAAAAAAATATTAGAGAAGTCAAATCGGTCAATTTTTATCATGTTTAATAATCGCTTACTCGATATCTGACTTTTTTTGACTTTATCTGACTTTTTCATTACATGTACAGATAATTATGAATTCCATTGGAAATAATTTTTGGTACTAAAATTAGTTATCAAATAAAACACAAATCCACAATACACCCAAAATTACAAAAGGTAGTTTTAATTGGATCTATTTGAAAAACTGCTGTGTACACATGTAGGTTATATAACTAGCGAAAGAGAGCGGACAGATGTTGCCGGTCAGGATCGCTAGTCTTATATTATTTCATTTGTTGGTTGTTTCCAGTATATTTACACTAAACTTACTACACAAGTTCACTTTCCGCAGTTTTGAATCTTTCGTTATTTCTATATAACCACTTCACTCTTGAAGTGGGTATAGTGGCATTAATTTCTTTGCGTGTCAGATTTCACTGAATGAATGAATGTAGATCAAGGCGATAACGGGTGTTTTACAGCTAGGTGTAGATGAAGACATGCTTATCACCATTTGCATGTTTTAGTTATAATTTATAAGTTACTGATAAAAATGTGCACCTTGAAAAAAGAAATAATATACATCCGAGTAAACTTTTTTTAGTATTCGATACTTGGACCTTGGATCGAGTACCCGGTAAAGTTGAATTCCCTAGAAAATATATTAAAATAACCGGTATATCATAAAAGGTTATTTGAAGTCCTTGATTTCATTTATTGAAAGTCAGATACATAATGTGAAATAATTTTTGTTAAATAAACATTGTGAGATATTCTTAATTTTTTTCAATTATACACTTTGTAGAAAATGCTGCCAAGAGACAGTTGTGAAGGGAATCATGTAGATAATCTCCAGAAAAGAAATTACCACTGATATTGGGATGTATGTACCAATATTTTAATACAATCATCAAAGACAAATTTACCACAGGAATAAAAATAAAACTGTCTGGCATTCAAGGGCCTGCCATGGTAGAAGCTCTCCTGAAAAAATATTCCATTTATTTTGGACATCATGACACAGGGCTCACCTGTCACCAGCATTAAATACTTGTGTGATTTGTTCTACCTGGGTCATACATATATTGAATGAAAACAAATCATAGAACCACAAGCACATTGTAAATCTATGTAAGGTCTTCTGTGTATGTTGTATTCCTTATATAATTTGCTGTTTTATAACAAGACTTTGTTTCATTGGTACTAAAACTTAATACATGTACACATACAAAACGCAAAAGCAATTGTGATATTTATTGTTTTTTATTACTCATTAGTTCTCATTTTTATGTGAAATTTTATAATTTTCCATTTCTTGTTCCCCAAAACCATATCTTACAAATTTCATGTATTGCAACTTGCATTTCAATTTTAATTTGTTATACTTGACAAAAAAAAGAGGTACTGTGAACAATGAACTGACTAAATGATACCCCCACATCCCATATGATTATAATGGAAAAGTCCATGTTTTGCTGTGGCCGGGAAACAAACCCAAAATATGTGTCATATGAAAAAGTAAAAGAGGAGGTGCACAATGGCAATATGTAATAAAGATTCTGTGAAGGTTTCATTAAATTTCACTCAGTGGTATAAGAGGAATTACGGATAAGATATGAGTACCCCAAAGCATAACAGATGGACGAACGGACAGCTAGACGTAAGTACGGACAGACATACCGACTACAGTATACCCTCCTACTTTTCAAGCGGGGGTATAATAAATGTTAAAATGTTCATATTGCTATCAACTTGACTTTTTCTCATGTATCCGCATCAAAACCGAGACATATTGTTTATTCTTGTTCCTTGGTTTCAATACTACAACCCATCAAAATATTTATCACCCCCCCCCCCCTTTAGAAAAGATTATGTTTCAAATATGTGTCATTAAAGTTTTGCACATGAGAACTTGCAAACATGCTTCCGCCTATCAGTACTCTCAGCACTTTGATTTAATCTAAATATTATTGATATCTGTAAAATAATTCAGAATAACTAAATCAAGTTTAAATTTATGTGTTGAATATATCTATCCCTGTTCAATTAAGGAATTAAAATTAATTAATCATCAAGTTAGTTTTCATCTATTTATTTCTTCGCAGACAGATATCTGACTTAAATGTTGAGCCCCCCCCTTTTACGATCGGAAAGTTGTATCAATTTTCTTTTCACAAACAGGACAGCTGTCTCTTGTTAGAAAAGTAAATCTTCTAAATATTGATGATTGCTGATGTTTATTAGGTAATTCAGTTTCCTAATGTTCTCGGACATCTGTACAAGTCATTTAATAATTTTATTATATACCCCTGTTTACGATTTCCGGTTTCATTTGCTCATACTGGAGTTCCCCTATTGAACAGTACAGTGTTCCATTTATAAACGTGTACTATGCCTTGTTAATTTTGTCACTTAAAACATTATAATTTCTAAATGAATGGTTGGTTGGTCGCTTACACAGGGTTCATAAGTACCCAATGTCTGTAAGTCCGAGACTAATAAATAATTATCAGACTAGTAATAAAAATTCATGTAATAGCAATTATAGTAATCTTACAGAATATTTATATTTACTAGGTCAGCGGTAAGACTAATATTAGCAGTAGCACCACTCTCAAATATTTTTTTCTCTCTCTCCCTCCCTCGCTCACTCTCTCTTAAAGATACAAACAGTATTGACACTGTAAGTTACTTAAATCCTTGACAAGTGCTCCGTTTATTCACATTGCCGAGGGAACTAGACCACTATTTAGTTTTTAAACTTAATCTTTAAGTATTTTTTAATCATTATTCAATTTTAACAAAAATATTACATGTTTCGTACCTTCCATTTCCCCCTGTATCTATCGGTGAATTGGAATTAATTTAATTGTTTGTGCCGAAATTAAATTTCATCTCATTAAAATAGGTAGGCGTAGGGTGTTATGATGTTAATATAACCAGTTAGAGATTTTGGTCATAAGTTGTGAAGGTAATTCTGGGCCTAAATCCGTTCTTGAGCATAAACGGGGAAGAAGGAATGTTGGCGAGTATAACAAAGTTGTGGCGCTGTGGGCCGTAATAAGGGTATAGATGCCGTATTCCTAATCCTTAAAAAGGAGCACAAACTTAAACACGACAGTATTAATTGTGTGTTCTACTTTAATAAAATAAATAAGTACATGTTCATCGTTCTTCATTTAGTTCGCAAGTGCCCCCCCCCCCCCCCCCAATTTACTAGACAAAAAGAAACTAGGTCCATGTGAACGTCTACCGACACTCTAATTGAAAAGAACATTGACATTATTTCTATCAAAGTTTTGTTTCAGGAGTATGCATAGACAAAAGATGAAAAATATGAAATGTCATAGTTTTTCAAGTATTTGAATTAAAATTAACACTTTCAGGTGGGGATCCGGAAAATCCAGATTCGAAAATCAGCTACAAGATGTACATTATTTCTAAAGAATAATGCGGACAGTAACTTTATCAATGAATGTCAAAGGATCAATGATCAATGCAGACCCGTAGCCCCCCTCCCCCTGCCCAATGAATAAAATAAAAAGTCTTTTTTTTATTTAAATCCCCCGTCTGTCTTTTAATTTTGGTTTCTTCTTGCAAATGCTTGGATTCGGGTATGTTTGACTGTACAAAAACAAATATGGGCGGCCTCCACATAATTTAAAATTTTACATAATATGAAAACTATAACAAAAAAAACGCCTTTCCTCAAAAGGGGACACCCACGGCCTCACCGAGCGCTATGAGTTTATTAAAATTATTCAAACTAATTTGAATAAATTAAATCAAAATTGAATAAAACACATCTAACCTTACAGTTTAATTCTTTAATTTAATATCAAAGAAAGCCAGGGAGTCAACGTTCATTAAGAAAATATTTATAAAATGCATGCCATGTAATAACATTGTTTAATTATGAAAAGGAAAAGACCTCTGTAAAATTTCATACCTGGTATCTAACTACTAAAGGAAGATTTTTTTTTTAATTGCTTATCTTTTTGAAGGTTTTGAAATTTTTTTATCTCTTCTCTCTTTTTTTTTACAAATCAATTTTCTATAAATAGACCAAAGAAGCATTTTTATCCAAAGATATCATCTGGACATAGTTAAAAATTATATGAAAAAATAAATAATGAAATGATAACCTATGTTAAAATAAAAAAAAATCAATTTCACACCACTGCAGCCTCCCCGAGAGCGAGAACAATAGGGACAGTCAGTAAATGTCAGCACTTGTCTAAGTTTTTCAGCAGGGACAGTAAACGGGTCAGTAATTGTCTAAGTTTTTCAGCACCGACTAAGATTGTCAGCACTTTTCTAAGTTTATCAGTACCGGCAGTAAAAAGGTCAGTAATTGTCTAAGTTTTACAGTAACGACAGCACATTGTCAGTAATTTTCTAAGTTTGTCAGTACAAAATGGGAATGTCAGTACGTTTTTGACTTAGTAGTGCAGGGACCTTCGTTTATACGGTCTCATACGAAGTACCGGTTTCCAAGTCTTTCGGTGGGATTCGAACCTGAATTCGATGTGTGTAACCTTCCCCACTTTCCAAATTATACTTATATTGATGCTTTTGTTTGAGGTATGTGAGAAGCAAATGCATTAAGTGGATTCCGTGATCCTATAGAGTCAGAGCGGTATGGTTTTTTGTACTGTTAATCACTTATTAGAAATTTATTTCCGCGTAACTAAGCGAGACAGTGTGATCGCGAAAATTTCTCTCTCGCACATATATAAGTACTCTTTACAGTAAGAACAATAACCACAATTCGTAAAAAAAAATTTTGTCATGCTAATAAATAGTTACATGTTATGACTATCTCGCGAAAATAAGATGTCTCGAAAATTAAGTGATCTACAGTAATTTGAAAATTACTTGAATGATATGCGAAATCTTGTTAGATTAATCGTTTTCCTCACAGACTTCGTCCTTATCTTAGATGAAGGTACAGTGTATGGAACTTATACTTTCAGTATCTAAGATAAAAAGATGTTTTAGGATGAAAATGACATTCAAGACAAATTTGAGAGAAAATGAATAACGCATACATCAAGACCATATCAACAATTTATCATCGATAGTATAATGTCTAAGTTGTAGGGTTCATTTATCATATTCAGAAATTACATTTACTACAGCAAAATTAGTAACAGATTTATACACACCGGGTATTGAGTTAAAAAAAAACAGTTGACTTTTTTTCACAGATTGAGCAGGAGTAAATTCTGAAAAAAAGTTTAATAGCTAGGTTGCTTTTAAATATTTTTTATAATGATTTTATATACGAGTATATATTTTTGTAAATGGCTAAAGCCCCAAAATGTCATGTACATACAATAAAATAAGTTCAATTATGATCAAAAATGTGAGTATAAGTATAGTTCATGTAGTATCACTATGTGATGTAAGAGATTGATGTATTTCATACTTAATAGAGCTCGTTCGATTATGACATATTAATTATGCCTTTTTGCCTGGTTTAATTCATTTTTAAATTTAACATCTTATATTTTTGAGACCGATTTCCGTGAAATCTATTTAAAATTGCAGCAAGATATTTGTTAAACCACAAAGCATAATTTACGTGTGTATTTGGCCTTTTTTCCCCAAAAAATGTGTATGCACTAGTATTACACAGATCTGTGTTAGAGGGAAATTGGATACCCCAACATCCATGCACGTTTAAAATACTCAATGTGCCAACAATTTGCAATAATCTATTTCCACTCTATATCTTGCTTGAGTCAAACAGTGACATCACGCAAATTGACTTTCACTATACTGTATAACTGTACAACTTTCCACAAACAAAAGAAATTAGCAATCTTCATACGCATATAAAAATCACCCTGTTTATACTTTCATTGTCCCCCGCTTGAAAAGTGGGGGATATTAATTTGGGTTTGTCCGTCCGTCCGTCCGTCCGTCTTTCTGTAACGCTTTCGTTTCCACTCGATATCTCGAGAACCCTTTGAGCTTTTGCAATGAAATTTAGCATAGCAACTCCCTTTGGACTAAAGAAGACCCCTATTGATTTTGAGGTCATAAGGTCAAAGGT